GTGTGTGTGTGTGTGTGTGTGTGTGTGTGTGTGTGTGTGTGTGTGTGCGTGTGTGTGTGTGTGTGCGTGCACTCGCTCCTACCCAGACCTCCTGGAAGGGTTTTGACAACAGGCTTCAGCTGAGCGATCTCCAGTGCTTCCCACAACATCTCATCCGTCGCTTTCATCTCTGGATCCAAATTGAACCTACATACACACACACACACACACACACACACATTGGACTTTCAGCTACTTTTTAAATTATTTTTTTATTTGATTTTATTTTTTCTTCTTTTGGCTGCTCCCTTCTTCAGGGGTCACCACAGTGAACAAAGACTTGGCAGTTGTTTTTATGCTGATGCCCTGACACATCCACAGACCACTGAGCTACCACAGCCCTCTGTGTGGAGCAGAGAGCTGCCATCTAGGGCGCCCAGGGGAGCAGATGGTGGGGGGTTAAGGGCCTTGCTCAAGGGCCCAGAGTGGAGAAAATGAGGGTGGAGGCAGGTGTGGGTGTTTCACCTTTCCCACCCACATTTTGATGTCGGTATTGGGAGTTGAACCAGCGACCATCTTATCACAGGCCCACCTTCTCTAACCTCTGCACCACCACTCTCCTCTGGACTGGACAGGTGTCTCTTGTAAATGAGTCCTCGAGGTTCAATGAGACTAACCTGTTTAAATAAAGGTTGATCGTATGAAAGAATGACTTGGACTTGCATCAAATTTAGCTCCGTGTCTATAAATTTAGCCAAGTTGTAGCAATTTTGTGTTTTTTATGTCAGCTTGCTGTGGCAGTCAACTTGAACAATCTTGACTTGAAACGTTAATTCGTAGTAGACGATCATCTAATGATGACTTTCCGAACTTTTCTTTCATATCTGTCCCCTGGTTTATCAGATATTTCACTAACAGACACTCACCCAAACACAGATGCAGCAAAACCATGATCACCTGCCTTTCATCTTGCCTTTTCAAATCCACCTTTTAGAAGGAAGCCTTTAACTTGTTGATGTTAAAGCCATAACAGAAACTGAAAAGTACACTGGAAAAGGTTTTTAGATGTTTAGATTTGGCATCAGTCGATGATTAAATCACTCAGTGTTGACATTTCATCTGTTGTTCTTTGGGCAGAAACAAACACTCAGCAGTGGTTCTCATTTGATAAAAGACCTGACATTTAATCTTTTTGAGGGCATTTATCCTCCACCTTTGCCCTCTGTGACTTTCAGCGCTGGTTGACTTCAGGGCCAAGACACAAAAACACATCAAGCATCTTATAAAACAGTGGTTCCCAACCAT